GCAAAGGATATTGCAGCAACCCTAAAATACTTGAAAGACATTACTGTAATGTTATGTAGTGAATCATCTCTTACGGTATCATTTCATGCCATTGCATTACTGGTTTACCAACAGTATCCTTCTGCTAAACGAAGGTAACTCCACAATTATATTAGAAATGAAACATATCATGATGACAGATCTTGTTGATAGGTACTCTGATATGACTAATATCTTAAATGTTGCATCTGCTGTTGACCCATGCTATAAACTGCTATCTTATCTGGAAAATGAAGTAACAGTATATACCTATCTCACAGAAGAAACTGTTAGAGTATCCACTACAATGTCCAGATAGGTAACAGTAAAATCTGAAAAACAAGATGGCCCAGTGTCTTATCCAAGGAATGAACTACTATCAGGTGCCACAGATACTCCTCCATTACCAACCTTATTTTATGACACAGACACCAAAAGCAATCCAGACAGCTATACTGGCAATGTCACTAAGTCTGAATCTGACTATCTTACATGATCTCTTGGGGGACATGTTTGCTATGCATGTAGAGCCTGCTAAGTCAATTCTGGAGTTGGCACAAATGGAAGTAATTCAGTACAAAAGTGAATCCCTAATAAGCCTTAAAAGTAACCCACTTAACCCTTCCATTACAGACTGGATGGAATCCACCCAGCTCATAACCATGAAAGTATCCATAAGATTAATTGTACTATGATTTTTGATAATGTATGCACATCTTTACAAAATTTTTTCAGATTATTGGTAAATATTACAAGGTTTTCGTACACAAAATATCAGATTTTCAAATTAAAGATTTTCTCATAAACCTTTTTCTTTAGTATACACTATGGGAAATTCTGGATATTTTTTATATTTCCTTGTAGAATTAAGAATATAATGTATATTCATGTATAATGTATAATAATTGAAATGTGACTATATTTTACAAAATACTAGTCCACTAAAACATAGCCAAGACAGGTCACTTTGTAAAGACTAAAGGTCAGTTATATATTATTGGATAAAGTGACAGGAGTGCATGTGCGCTGCGTCATTGTAACTTCTGTATTGTTAGACAGGCATGGCTGGAAGGTCAATATAATAAAAATAATAAATGTATAATGTTATGAGATTTAAGCTATTTAGATTAAACATTTTTATTTTCATGTTATAAGTTGTATTCATTCTAGAGCAAAGAAAGCATAATTTATATTTTCGTAATTATTTATTAAGGTTACTAAATCGGTCGAATCGAACCAACCCGTACAGAAATACAGTAGTGAAAATAACAAATAAAATATAAAGTTTTTTCATGTGAAATTTGAAAATGTTCTAATGCATTAAAGTATTTTTAATCTTAAAATCAAAATTGCTTTGTGTGTTGAATAGTCAACATTCGGATACACGGGAGACATTTTCTCTAGGCATCTTGTCTCCTCTATTTAATACACCACCCCTTAGAAAAGTAGGAAATTAAACATAAATTACTCACTATAAAATTGTCATTGCTCCGACAAAACATATTATTTATAGTCTTCAATTTTGTTTGGTTACAGAGCTATCGAATAGAAAATCAAACCCCTCCTGCCACACCCATCACATCCTCTCTTTCAGAATTTGTTAATAGTTCTCTCTCTTATGTTTAATTATATATATAACCAATACAAAGAAAAAAGAAAATTGATTAAGTATTTTATTTCTTTTCATGTTTATTCTTTATGTATTATTATCAAAGTAATTAAAATGTAAAAATAGGGATCCTTTTAGGTTAGTTAAGATTAGATTAGGTAAAATAAATAATAATAATATAATAAAAATGTTTCACGAGGCACACACGCGAGCAGCTCGTAGTAGCTTGTGGGTAACGTAATTTGTCAGCATAACGTGAGCTGCATGTTCCCCAAGTGATTTACAATTTATAATGGCACAGATAGTAGTTAAACATGGTTCAAAGGGCAATCAGACAATAAAATTTAATTATAAATAGACATATATTGTTGGAAATTTAGAGCTACTTACAACAAACTAATTTAGTTTCATGTTACAATTTGATGTCATTCTAGTTAGAAAAAAAAAGGGTAATTTAGATTTATTTTGGTTATGAGGTCAGTCGAATTGACCAATTTCATTTTGAGATAGGGTAGAGAAAATAACACAAATTATAAAGATTTACTGAAACAAAAACGTTTGAAATGCATTTGTGAGGTTTAGGGGTTACATAAAGGAAATTTTAGATTTTTGAAATGAGGAAAAGTATTTTTAATTTTAACATACAAATTATTTTGCACACAGACTATTCAAAACAAATACTCAATATATTCTTGGACAAATATTTATTTTATTAAAAATACTTCACTAAAAAATGATTTTTTGTATGTGAAAGTCTTATAATATTAACCAAAAGGCTGCCACATTTTGTAAAGATATACACACTAGATTGAAAGTTAGCTTTATTAAATCTATAAAGACTTTAAACGAGTACAAAGAGGTCACGTGGTCGGTCAAATTGACCAAGGCTGTGTTGAGAGAGTTAAAGACATCAGCCACACTGGTTTTTCCTACGTTTCACTTTAATTTCAGTTGAAATAATGAAAGATGCAACAAAGAAGGTCAGTGTGAGTTTAAGTAGAGAGGAAATTTTTGAAAACTTAAAATACATCATTTGCCAAAGAAATGATTCGAAGGAACGGAGAACTACATCTTCCTATGATGGAAGACAAAAGTTGTAGAAATGAAGACATATTCAGAAGGATAAAGAGAGTGCACTTCAATGCATAATTTGTGTACCACTGCAACAATGTGTGTAATAAAAGTTACCTGTTAAGTAAAACACTCGAAAGGATTCAGAATGACAATTTGCCAAGAAGAAACAGTCTTGTTTGTTGAGTGCCAGGAAATGACACCTAAACAAACTAAGAGAAGAAAGACCAACTGTAATTCTTGTAAGAAGCAGAATGACTTTCACTGTATTTAAAATAAAACAAACTGTTTAATGAAACAGGTGCCAACAACAAACCTGTAAAATCTCATTCAGCAGTTAATTAAAAAAAATGCTTATGCCATCAAATTACTACTTTGCTACTAAAACATCACAGAAACATACATTGTGATAAACCAGTTATGAATATTTTCTCTGAGAGTTTGTCAGACACAACTCTTTGGATATGTTTCCCTTCTTCAAACAAAGATGACAAATAGTTGTCAAACATGTAATTGATTCTATCACACAAAAACATTCCAAACAATTCTTAAAATGAGTGATATAACATTCATAATTACTTTAAATAGCACAGGTATAACATTAAAAATTAACAAAGAATGTTGAATCATTGCAGAGTAAAATTAACTTTATCACATTCAATGATGGTGGCATAGAACACTGCTGAAACATGTATGAATATTTTTAGAGCTGTGCCCTATTTTTAATAAAGTTAATTTTACTTGGTAACAATTCAGTGTTGTGTGTTTATTTTTATTATTGAACCAACAATATTTTGAATCTGCAAAATGCCAATTCCACATCTTCAGTTTCTGTCCTTATCACATTTATTTGTCACTGCATTATAGCTCTCCCCACAAAAAAACAACAACAACAAATAAACAGAAATCTATGTCCCAAGAAAAATTGGGTTAAGTAGGTGTAATTCTTATTTTTTCATTCTTTTTATTAAACATTATTACACTGTACTGTACATCATTATGAAAATGGAGAATGTTTTTACGTATTCTATCAAATCAAATATTGAGTTACTTTCAGCTTTTTCTTTGTTCCATATCTGCATTGTTTATGTCTTTCTTGTAGTGTATTTCCTTTCCATGAGGCCTATAGGTCTTCAATGTGGTATTCAGTTTTTGGATTCAACTGATGGTCAAGAAGTACCTACAGAATATGGTGGAGAGAGTAGGCTGAGCCATGTTGTTGTTGTTTCTCCACAAGACATGGATGTGGTATTCAGTTTTTGGATTCAACTGATGGTCAAGCACCTACAGAATATGGTGGAGAGAGTAGGCTGAGCCATGTTGTTGTTGTTTCTCCATAAGACATGGATGTGGTATTCAGTTTTTGGATTCAACTGTTGGTCAAGAAGCACCTACAGAATATGGTGGAGAGAGCAGGCTGAGCCATGTTGTTGTTTCTCCATAGGACATTTGCTACAGATTTTATGACACTGTTGTTCAAAATACCTCAATTTTTGAGGTTACTGATGGTGATGATCGTAAACTGAAGATAAGATTGATGGCATTTATATGTGATACAGTACATTTTGTGGTCTTGGTTTAATATTTAATGTTGATGACTCAAGTTGATGGCAAGCATATGGCAGTGCAACCACACAGCAGAGGCAAACTCAATTAGCAAAATGCTCTGCATTCCCCAACTCTATTACACTGTTGTCAAACATTTGCTGCTTTGTACTTTATTACAAACAGATACATACATCAGAAAGTTTATAAGAAATAGTTTGATTAGTGTAGTAATAATATAATTCATAAGTAATCATAACCATATTTTTGACATACATGTTCAACAACTGAATAGTGTAAAGATGTTTGTAAATTGTCATAAAATGCTGCATACCTTTCTCTAAAGAGTAATGCCATTTATTGAATAAATGAACACTTCCCACCAGCACATGTTCAAAGAAATCATGCTGGTATAGCTTTAATCTTGTATATTTTTTAAAGTTTTTGCCACCGTGCCAAACAGGGTGGAAATTAGTTGAGCCACACATGAAAACCTAACACTTGTGGTGAAAGATTAATGGGAACAGTTCAAATTTCTTCCTCTTTCTTGATACAGCATGTCAAAGTTAACTGAATATGCTTCTTTCCAACATTAGAATGAAGTGGTAAAGTATGTATTACTAAATTAATAACTTTAAGAATTTAGAAGTTTTTAGAAAACAATAAATAGTTTCATTTTAGTTCCAACTATCTAATATAAATAGTTTTCATTTGAAGAAGAGAAAAAAACAAAGAAATTAAATAACATAGCAAATACCATGACTGTAGAGGGCTTTTATGGTGTCCCTCATTCTTCAATCTTTTTTTATCTAATGTGCAATGACCTCCTACTTGACCCTCACCAATCACATCTTCTCTGTACCTGAAAAAGTGTATCTGAAAATATAAGAATCAAAAACAAAAAACAAAACAAAACAGGTTGTTAAAACGTCCAATGGAAACGCTTCAGATTAAAATTTATCTTGCTATTCAGTTACAATAGAACATTACAATGGTTTTGTTTGTATGTCTAAAAAACGTCTTCAATAAAGTCCTTACACCTGTCTTCTAGAATGAATCTGACATTTTAGCAAGAGAAACCTTTCAAGCTTATTCTGCATTTAAGAGAAAAAACTCAACTCATACTGGATTAAAAAATTTTTTTATCATATTTTCTAACTGACAGTTCAATAGCATCATGATTATTTTAAAAATATATCCAAGTGTTAATCTTTAATTATTCTTTTTTAATTTGTATATTCCTCAATTAAAAACTTTAATTAATCAAAGTCATGCATAAGAAACAAATGATTTGTCAAAAGTTAAAAATTTAAATACATCTTAAAAACTATCAAATTTTGGCAAAAGATATTTCATGATCAGGTTGTCTAAAAATTTTCATCCTCTAGGATCAGTAATATTCTTCAATTACACTAACCATTCCAACTTTATGTATTGTTTTATTTTCTTTATTGCTCAATAACCAAAAGATGACCACCATAAGAGCTCATCTTTTTTTTTGATTAAAACATTATAGATCTAAAAGTAATTATATGTACAAATACCTCATTGGTTCAGGCATATCTAAAAGCTTATTAAAGTCAAACATAATATTTTTTGCTCGGCAGAACCGTGTGTAAGTTGTACATTCCAACAAAGAATCTCCCTGAAAAAACAAACAAACAACTTAAAACATAAGCTAGAAAGTGGAAAGTCTTCTGATATTTACATTCTGAATGGGATAATTATATGCACTATCCAAGAACTTAGTAAAGAGAACAAAATTTTGGGCTGATCACAAAAACAACAATAGAGACCCATAAAAAACAATTGTTTTTAACTTATAGATTTTACACTGCTTAATAAATTGGAAGGCACTCATTTACAGGAATTGTGATCAACAATATTAATTTTATAAAAATGTTTAACCAGGCCCATTTAATCGTTTTATCTTCAACTTTACATTGAATTTGATCTCACTGTTGTAGTATCAAGTGCCTAAATGAAATACATGTAAACTTGCTGCAGTCTATGTGATCATGTGATTAATGATGTATTATATAGTTAATAACTCATGGTTCTTATATTTAAAGGTGTATATGACAATGTATAAAAGTAGTATTCAAGAGTGCATATAGCAATGTGTAAAGTGTTTAAGGGAATATACAGCAGAAGTTGTTTTTACTTTTGTTTAAATTTAGCAGTCATCCATGTTAATTCTTCAGAATGAACATAGTTGATAAAGACAAGGGAAGCTAGTGATAACACTATTACACTGATGCAGTTTAAGCAATCACATAGTGAATTAACTGAAGTAGGAAAAGTAATGATAACAGATTTATTCTTAGTTTGGAAAGCAGACAGAAAGATTAGTGTATTCCTTTTAGACACAATATTAAATACATTTAGTTGTTAAGCATAACTACTGTCAGTAAAAGGAATAACAACTTAAAGAAGTAATTAATTTAACATTACAAAATAAAATGTCCTGGACAAATAGTCTCTACAGTTTTTCTCATCTTGAAATGTATGAATTGGTATTATGAAAATTCTTAAGAGAAAATTGATTTTAAACAACAAAATTCCAAATCCTCTCATTGATGCTTTAAAAAGAATAGAAAAATATCTAACATTTTCCATAATTTCATTAAACTTACACTGGTATTTTATATATCAACATGTTTATGTTATGATTTTGTTAACTCTTTCAATGCCCAAAGACATATTCCCAGTCTGAATCTTACAAATAATTATAAACAGTCTTGATATTTTCTGTTTGACTAAATAAAAGTGATCAAGTAGATCACATGTAAAAAACTAATCAAACAATTGATTGTACTCTCCTTCCACAATCTGAAGTTACTTAGAACGTAAATTTAACTTTATAAATGATTTTTGTGCAATATAAACCATTTATCAAGCCACAATAGTGCGTAATATAGCTAGATGTTTATTATAAGGAATAGTAAGTAACCCAAAAAAAAGACTTGACAATGAAATAACAAGTATCCTGGAAAACAGGCTTTACAATAAAATACTAAGTATTCTGAGAAACAGATTTTACAATGAAAATCAGTTAACATGATAAGCAAACCATTTATAGAGTTCGTCCTAACAATAAAAATGGCTATAATGAAATACACTGGTTTTAATAAATTTTGTGAAAACTTTGTATTATTTTAATGTGATAAAAGGACATTGCCAAAGAAAAGACTAGCTTTCTGTGGCATTCCCTAAAAATATGTTTATTTAAATATGTTAGCTGTAACAAAACATGCTTACCTCATTGCATAAAACCTTCATTTCTTGTTTCCTTTCTTTGATGTACCCAAAATCCCCTTGTTTAAAAAACATTTCCTTTTGTTCTTTTTTACTCTTTACCCTGTAAAATAAATTGTGAGCTTCATATTATATCTATCTATACCCATCAAACTATACCTGCATATATAAAATTACTGCTAGTAAAAAATATCTAGACATATTCTCATAAAGAAGGAAGACTTTGTGATCACTTTTATAATATACTGTAGAATTGCTTCTGTTGTGAAGTTATCATTTTCCTAATCTGAAAATGTATTTCCACACTTACTTACCTTCACTGACACTTATAGCTATTTCTTGATCTTCATCTTTGCCATCCAAACATTGTGTTCGCTTGCTCCAGTCTTTTATACCCCACTCGACTGCCCTCGGCAAGTTCTAATTTGCAAAACTTTACACCAGCTCTCTATGCAGGTACTGTATATAAGTACTGAATGCAGACAATATAATCACTTTTTTCAAGACTTACCCATCCCAGTCACAAACAATGGCTCTTAGTGGAGAGGAAGGAAGGGAGAGTGTCAGCAAAGTGAGTATGTTTCAAAATACATTTTAAGATTAGGAAAATGATAACTTCCAAAACATGCATATCTCTGCTGACACTTATAGCTAGAACCCCACACTGAGGGCCAGTGAGGGTGTAGGTCATACATAAAGTGTCTGCACAGAACAAAGGTGTACCACCAGAAATGGTACCCAAGCGGAGAAAACCACGCTACATCCAGAACAGGTATGATCATCACCCAGAACTAAGGAAAAGTGAAAGGGTGGAATATTACACAAGTAAGCATGATGGGTCAGCCCCAATCATGCAGCTGAGGTTCCACAATGCTGGGCTGGATTTCCCCAAATCCCACTTTGGTGGCCAGGACAGTGGGACTGCAAATCTAGACAAACCTTTGTGATAGGATCCCCACCAGAAGCCATGGAATGATGCATTTTGAACTACCAGATTTATGAAAGAAAGAAAGCAACAACAAAGTTTACGATCCTTCTGATCAACCTGAAGAAGTCCAAAAGGCAACACCGCAGACTTGAATTGACAGGATCATATATGCCATACTCCACCCAAGGTCCAGAACTCATCTGGTCTGGATTTACGAACAGTCATCTTCACTCCCCAACCAAGTGGGCAAGGAGAATTCCACTTACCCATGGAATTATGGGGAGGATGTGGAACACTTTTCCACCAAGGTCCTAAGATGGAACCGCATTTCGTTCGGATTTACGAAGAAATAGTGAACCCCCTGTATGAACAACCTAAGATAGTGTTCATAAGAGGGTCCAAGCACACCACCACTGGATAGCTAAGGATCAAATCTGAACTGGTTTTACGAGTAGGCTCCCACATAGGTTGGTCCTGCTCCTACCAACATCTGGGAAAAACTTCCAGGGACCTGGATAGGAGGGTCCCCAACTTCACCCTCTACTCCGAGTGGAGAAAACTCAACATTCTGAAGGAAAATCCTCTGTCCACCACCCCAGCAACTGGGAACTGGGTGTGGTAAAGACTCCCTAGCTCTACTAGTAGAATTAGAGGGAGGACTTGTGCAGTGGAGAGTCCCAAAGAACAGATCTCCGGAGACAGTACAACAGGTGAACCACGTTCCCCAAGTTTTAAAAGCAAACTGATCTTGACTGATTTAACTTGAGGATCAGCAGGGACTGGCAAAATCCCCTTTAACTTTACTCATGATAGTCCATGAGTAGAGGTCCATTGGATTTGTATTGTGAGATAATACTACCATTCAGAATTGCAACCATCCAGGGCTCGTTGCAACCATGAACCAATATAAATGTTGCTAGTGCAGAATTGAAAAAAATACAAGCACACCTGACTGGGCAACACTTGCCATTTAGTGGAATCCAAAGGAAATAAAGAGGGACCCTAGAAGAAAAAACTGTTAATCAGGTAAGAGAGTGACACATCTTATTAAAATCTAGCAGAGGTAGTCAACACAGCCATGGGGGAAAAGGCAAAATCCCATAGAAGATGAAACTGCCAGATCATGGAGGTAATGAGATAGAAAAGTGTCAGGAGAAGTCCACATACCAGCCTGCAAAATCTCTCTCACAGAACAGTTCATAAGAGCAGCCAATGACATTGACAGATGCCAAATCTGTTGAGAAGTGACGTGGAACATATTTTAATCTTTAACAGATAACCCCAAATAAGCTATAGGTATGAACTTCTTAAGGCCCCTGGGTAATGTAATGGGTGATAAATCCAGGGACATCACAGGATCCCAATGAATAAAAGCCGGTTCTTAGGGCCCCTGAACAGTCCTGTACAAGCCACAGAACATTGAAGTGCTCTGACTGGACACAACAAACGATCCGGGTATGATCAATTGTCCTGTTAAATGAATAGGAGAAAAGGATTTATTCCCATCTCCAGCAGTGAGTATGTTTGGCAGAAAGGATCTGTCTGGATAGAGCAAAACATAGGTGGAATGATAGAGAGTCTGCTGAACAGGGACGGCAAATAAATCAGAACAGCAGCATCCAGACACTAACAATAATAAAAATATACCTTGAGGGAAAGGTGTTACAAAGAACAGGGGTTCATAGGATTGAAGGTTTTAAGTGAAAATGCATATAAAACAACTCCAAAGTCCCAATGAGGCAATTGAAAAAATCGTTTGGGTTGAAGAATATGAAAGGATCTTAAGATGAGATAGCACAGGTGAGTCAAAAACCTTCTTATATGTAGAATAGTGAAAGGGAGCAGCTAAGAATACCATATATAGAAGAACCCAAACCTCTCTCAAAAATCCACGTCAAAAAACATGAAACTATGGAGACTGTTGGATGAAGTGGATTAAAGGCTCACTCAAGACACCACTGACGAAATGTAGTCCATTTCTGTTGGTAGACTGCCATAGTAGGTCGGCAGAAAATTTTAGTCAAATAAATGGAAACTCTAGAAGTTAAATCCCTATGTTGGACAAAGGGCCGCATAACTTCCATGGATGAAGCTAGAGTCGAATGTTTGGGCATTGAATGTTGGACCTAGGTTATCTCAACAAGGATGAGTAAAGAGGTAGTGGTGGACATTCCTGGAGCAACTGAAGAAGAGGAAACCATGTCTTAGCAGGCCAAAAGGGTGCTATCAAGAGAACCTGACATGGGGTGGAACAAATCATAGACAAGACTCTGGGTAAGAGACGAACAGGAGGAAAGGCATACAAATGTAATCCTGCCCAGTCCTGACAGAAAGCATCTATTGCCAGAGCTCGTGGATGTGGAACTGGAGACCAGAACTGTAGGCAAGCATTCTAATGGGTTGCATAGGCATCAATCATTGGAGATCTGAACTGAGAACAAATCCATTGAAAGACCTCCTGATGTAACATCCATTCTGGTGGAAGAATCTGATGAGGTTGAGAAAGATGATCTGCTATCAAATTCATAACCTCTGGCACATCACAGGCCAAAAGATGGATGTTGTGGGAATGAGCCCAAAAATAAGACCCAAAGCCTGAAAACCAAGATCTCGAGAATGAGTACCTCCCGTATGAGAGAGATATAAAACCAGTGTGGAGTTGTCTGAATGGATCATGACAATATTGCCATTCAAGAGAGGAAGGCCTGGAATCATTGCTATATGTACTGCAAAAAGTTCAAGAATGTTGATATGCAGGCTAGATTCGTAATCAGTCCAAATACCCTGGAATTCCTGCTCCAGAAGAAAAGCACCTGAAGAGATGGATTTCCAGATGAGGAGGTGGTATCTGGACTCCAATATTCATGTTCTGGTTAAGCCACTGCTTGAGATGTTCTCCAGCCAAGAGACTGCTTGATCCAAAGGATCGGTGTGCATGAGACACTGGTCGCAAAGTGACCACTGAAGGGATCACACATGGGCCTGACCCAATGACATGAGGGATTCTTCACAGTGGGAGAAGGTGACATAAGCAAATGCCTGATAATCCATTCCATAGTGTGAAGTCCAAGTGGAGATGGTTGAGCTCAACTCAAACACCCCGAGATGTACCATGTATTGAGAAAGAGATTGAGATGAGACAGATCGATGACAGGATGCCAATCTTCAGTTTTAATGGACCAGCGCCATCCAGATCTGTTTAAAGATCCCTGAGAATACGGACAGAACCGATTATGTGAACCAATAGGATGAGGTGTTGAAGATGGGGAGGCCATGAAATGCGAATTGTTGATCCTCCAAAATTACCTGTTGGAGTAGAAGAAAGGTGAGCCACCAATGAAGATAAAAAAGACTGTAAACATGCCAAATCAATCAGGCTTCGAAAGTTTCAGGGACTCCAGCAAACTGGTAAGGCCGAAGAAAAAGCGCTTCACAGAAATCACGAAGAGTAGTGGATGGCAAAATAATACCTTCCAACAAAGCATCTCAAATTCCAACCTATCAATCCTAACCACAGACTGATCAAAACACCAAGGCAAGGCCTGAAGAGGACAAACAAACCATAGGGGTAACCAGTAAGGGTCCCAGTTCATCATCAAATTGATGAGGACAGCATTGATATGCTTGTGACAGAAAGGGAAGAGAAGTATCACAATACAGTAGTAAGAGTCAAACGAAACCGTGAAAGTTAAGAGGATAACAGATTGTAACCTGGAACCCCATAGATCCAACCAGTGAGTGGCCAAATATACCTAAACCGGACAATAAGCCAAAGCATGTTGTTCTGATAAGCGAAGAAGGCAAGGTATAGCAATACTCTCTCGTAATTGCATTGCAAACCTCCAGGCACACATGGCAATATCACAGGAAGGAAGAAAACTAAGTAACCCCCCCAAGATCTATCTGACAACAAAGCAGGGGGTAGACTCAACAGAACAGGTTGCTCAACAGCAACAGGGTTAATCCCCAAAACTTCACAAACTTCTGTAACTAACTACAGAAAAAGGGGCAGAAGATGGCTGATCAGATGAGCCTTCAGCAGAAACAGTCCCAGTGAAAGAAGGAGCAGAAAACAGTGTCTAAATTCTCTCTAGTATATTCAGATTCATGATAAAAAGCCAACTCTGAACCCCCAGGCCACATAAAGGACTCCACTTGCCCTGAATCCGGTTATG